ACAATACGTACCTTCGGCAACGGCCACCAGAATTCACGAGCCATCAGTATTCAATAAATTATATTATTTAGGATAAACCGAACAAGCCAGCAGTCCCTGCTACATCCGCACAGCCGATGGACTCTGCGGCCACTCAGGCTCAACTGGACCGTCTTTTGAAGTCTGCTCAAAGTTCGAAAGCTCAAGCTTCGCGTGACAGTGATGCTTAAGTTCTGGTTCTACTCTTATCCAGTTTTCTAATTTATGAACTACTGTGCGATGCTTTCTATTTGCTTTTGTTGTAAATATTTTCTGGTCATAATAAATTTTATCCGCAGAACAATCGAATTATCAAGTACAAACTTCAATCTATTTTCAGCATATTTTCTTTATCGCACAAAGTGTAGTAAAAGACCAGAATGAGACCGTACAATATGAAAGGAAATTGTGAGAATTATTTTGCTTTCGAAGCATTAGTCAGATAGATTTCCATGAAAGCAATGACGAATGCTTCAAGATGGAAAATAGGTTTCTGTCCGAGCAAAAGACGGTGTTCGAATTTGGCAGCCTCGCTGACGACTTCTCGAACGATCGAAGAGGGACAGCTAGGCAAGAGGTATTCGAGAAGCTTCTGAAAGTATTCAAATGAAAACTTAAAAATTGCATTTCGTTACCTTGAAAATAACATGAGGTGGAATGAGTCTAGAGATAACTTCATAGAGTCTCTCACGGACTTTGAGTGCCATATCATTGGTTTGCTTCTGGAGAATGAGCCGAGCAGTTTCTTGTATGTACACCTCCCATTCTGGAACAGGAATCTGAGCGTTGGCTGGAATCCCGCCCTCATTTTCCATTTTTATTGCCTCTGTCATCAGAATTGCACGTCGCAAGTTTCCTTCAGATTTCTCGACAATCTTCTGAAGAACGCTGTCCGGCATGTTCAAGTTCTCCTTCTGAATCACTTTTCTCAACACTTTCTCAACTTCGACATCAGTTGGAGCTGGCACGTTGATGATGATACAACGGGATTGGAGCGGTTCGATAATACGAGAAAGTGATTCACAACACAATACAATTTTACAATTGTTCGCGTATTTCTCCATTGTTCGACGCAAACCGTGCTGAGCATCACGAGTAAGCGAATCGGCTTCGCAAAGAACGACTACTTTGAACGATTTTTGAGACGATGCTTCGATTTGAGACGTCTGAGCCATTTCTTTCACGAGATCCTGCACTACTACCCGATCGTAAATTCCAACATCCGACGGTGTCATTTCAACATGATAGTTACTCGAAACAGTTTGAATCTCGAGTTTTCGATTCGAAGGAGTTGTAAAAGCCTTCATGATCAGTTGCGTTTTGTCCACTCCGACTCCGTAAAGCTCTCTGAAATCGATTTTGAACGAAAAATGAGAAAAGGCTTGCAAAACCTCAAGAGACACTTGATTCGAGTCTTTTTACCAGCACCACTCGGTCCACAAAACAAGAGATGAGGCATACAATCAGCAGATAGGAATTTCAAGTGTTTGGCTTGCTCCAAGTGATAGTCGACCCCGTCCTTTCCTAACAACTCCTTAGGACGATACTTATCGACCCATAACGCCATTATGATCTGAAACTGAAGCTTAAAAACAAAAAAATTGACAATATTTCATAAAAACTAATTGGAGTGAATATGATAGCTGTCAAACAAACAGCAGTTAGCCATAACATCATGTACAATTAATCAAAAAGTATATTTTAACCAAAAGTGTGACAGTGAAATATTCGACAAAAGACGCCGAATTATAATTGACATGTACATTCAAAGGTGCACAAAAGTGGAGTTAGACAATGTAAAAATTTCAAAATTATTGTATGTTCATTTTTCTCTTCAGTGCGATGATATCATCTCTGCGTTTCTTGTTCGCAATCTGACGGTTTTCCAGATTGGACTTGGTCGCTAGCTTTCCTGGAATAAGACCTTCTTCCATAGCCAAATTGTATTCACGATCAGTTAGCTGCGTTGTATCGACGAACACTTTCTTGGATGTATGGGGAGTGTAGCCGGCTCGTTTTGGAACTGAAAGTAATTGGGTATGTGTAGGTGCCGCAATGAAAGGGGGCGGGGCGACCAAATGTTTCTCCCCTTTTCAGAAGTCCATCTTTGAAGGCTTGTACCGGGCGTTAGAACCTTATTATTTTTAAGGTTAGAACTTGTACCTATGTAATCGACTGCGAAAAATCGAATGAAACTAACAGTTTTCTGATATTTTCATTTTTTTGATTCGAAAACTTCGAAAAAAAGGGACCTGGACTGACAAATTGGACTAAAAGTATTGGATGGAAGTTCGTGCCACCAGGTTTATTGATGGATTCTGGTAGTTTATAAAATGGGGGATTGAATTTTGAAGTAAAATCGAAACTCTACCGACGCCCTTGTTTCACAATTTTCAGCCAAAGTTCCAGCCAAAATACAAAAAAAATTTCAGCGATGACCCCAAAATTTTTTTTGCATATTTTGATAAAACTAAGTCTTGTGTATATCTCTGCCAATTTCCAGAAAGAATTGTAACTTTTAAGTAGTTTTAATACCCATCCGAAAGTTCACAACTTTCAAATTTTTTGGTTTTTGGAAGTTTTGATGGTGACACAGGTGAGTGCCACCGATTTTCTTTTTTCCACAAGAAAATACGCAAAATTTGACACTAAATACTATCTTAATTAAAAAATTCTACTGACGCCCTTATACTAAAAATCGGATGTTTCCTCAGTTTTCATACAGAAATTTGTTTAAAGGGGGACTCCGACCAAAAATTTTTATTGCCCTAAAATGTTTCAAAAAATATGTATTTTCCAAATATTATTGTGGAAAAATTCAAAAAAAAATCCTAAATCCCCGAAAAACGGCGTTGAAAAAAAAGGATTTGAATTCCCGCGCAGTGAGAAACCTAGGCCACGGCATCATAGCGCCTTTCTTACATGGAAATTTTTCCGGATTTTTACGGTGTTCATGTCCGGCAGGTTAAAAATGTAAAAAACCACTGTCGGCCACTTGAAAAAACGGTTGTCAGGCGCTGTGGCCTAGGTTTCTCACTGCGCGGGAATTCAAATCCTTTTTTTTTCAACGCCGTTTTTCGGGGATTTCGGTTTTTTTTGAATTTTTTCGCAATAATATTAGGAAAATACATATTTTTTGAAACATTTTAGGGCAATAAAAATTTTTGGTCGGAGTCCCCCTTTAAGAAACAGGAAGAAAGGAACAAAGCAAGGAGGCGGCAGGCAACGAACAGTCGCCCTTTCCTCTATCCCCTCTAGGGCTTACACGAAAAGTGCAGCCGTGGCCGACTGGATAGTGGGCGCACGCGTCGATCCGAAGACGGCCGAGGTTCGAATCCCTCATGCACTGGTCCTGGGCGCGCATACGCATAATGGATGGGCGACGGAGGACGCGCCGATGAATTGAATACAGGGAAAGGGCGCCGGTATGGGGCATATACGGGGCATATGGGGCACACCGCCGCCGCAATGCATCTCCTCGCCTAGCTTGCTGGCACTCGATGAAATGAACTAAAACGTTGGTTGGGGGTTCCTAGAAGTATCAGTTAAGTTCTATTGTGATGTGATTTTGTTCAGATTTTCCGATTTCGTACTTTTCCTTTATTATTCCATATTCTTTTATATTTTGAACGACATATTACTGATTTTTCGAAACTCAATGTTTTTGTTTTGAAAAAGACTTATGGCAGTTTCCATTTAAATTTGATATGCAAATTCATATTTTTAAAATACAATCAAAAACAGAAGAAAATGGGAAAAAAATCGCTAAAAATTGTTTAATTTCATTTCAAAAGATATGTCTCACTTTCACTTTTTTTTTTGAAATTGCATGAAAAAAATGAAAATTTTTATAATTTACACTTTGTAATTATTGCGTACTTACCAACTTACCTTTTATTCCACCTGAAAATACGATTTTTACAATAATTACAAAGTGAAATCAAAAAATCTCAATGTCACCTATTTTGGCGAATAACTTAGCAATTAACGAGTGAAAGACATGTTTCTGCAAGAATTCAGCGATTTTTTAGTCTGCCATAACTCTTTTTACAAAAATCGTCGAAGGAATAATCGAAAAACCAGAAATGTAGGCTCGATTTGACGAACAAAGTTGCCGGTATGGATTTACGGTAAACAATGCGCGCATCCGGGATTTCGGAGTGTTGTAGTCGGCCTACCGTATCAGACCCATATCGCACACATCGCCCACCCACCTAGAATCCATCTAAGATATGCGCGCATTCGGAACCATACTTGTGGAAAAGATGGCCGGCCCGCGGGCCGGGCCGGGCTGAGATTTTTCTGAAAGCGGGCCGGGCCGAAAGCGGGAAATTTTAGAGCGAATCATCATTTTTCAAGATGGTTTTTCTTCTTAGTGAATGAAAATCCACACTAGAGGCCGATACTGTCGACAAAAACTGTTTTGAAGTCGTAATTAGAAAAAAAGTTTCATCCTTGGCTTGATGAAGTTTGATTTTTTTTTGCTAAAAATTCAATTAAATTGGCTTTTTCGGATGGTTGTATGCATTTGGATTAATATTTGTGCAATTATAAATATTTTGGCACATTCAAAAAATAAAATTTTCGAAAAGTTGTCCTAGGCGGGCCGAGCGGGCCGGGCCGAAAGTTTTGAGACAGGCGGGCCGGCCCGGCCATCCACATGTATGATTCGGAACACTCGATTCAGCCTCTTCCGCATCGCACACATATGAGACTCATCGCAGCTCGTTGTTCGCGATATGTGTCAAACGGACTTCTAGAGGATCGCATATGGATCGGGTCCTTTATGCGCATCATCGCCCAGGACCTGTGTGTGCTTGTTAGCTTTTTCTTTAATTTTCTTTACGAATTTTCCGCGCCGCAGGATTGCAAGTTTCTAAACCCCGCCCACTTTTTCTGCGCACCGCAAAAAAATGAGGATAAGGTCAGTACTTGGAGGTCTGGTATAAAAGGGTCTGTAACTCGAGATTGGGAGAATATTTTCCGCTGAAACTTTGGGAATGGACTTCTATAAGGGAGGAGAAGACAATCCAACAATAAAAACTGGGAAATATCTATTTTGAAAATTATGTTGTGGTGCCTAGGTATGTGTGGAACTTGTGATATAATTAAATACCTCTGCTTGGAGTTGTCCCTTTCGGAGTAGAAATGTAGTCGGTGAAAGTATTGTCATCTGCGACAGTGGCCGGAATCACAGTTTTAGCACTAATTCCGCGAGAAGGAGTGCTTGTATTACGGCTTGGTCCTGGGATCTTTGTCAACTTCTTCACATCAACATGAGCTCTAGCTCTGGATGCTGGCTTCTTTGCAACGGTCGTCATAACAGAAGATGAAGACGGACCAGCTTCCTGTCTGGCGCTCGCCACAGCAGCGAAATCGCTCACATCATTCTGTCCGAAATTGAACGTCATTTTAGCTGGATTTTGTACAGTCCAATTCCTACCAGCGGATCTAAAACAATCTAATTATTATGCTTGTCTGAGGAAAAAAAAGGTTAGAGAGTATTTTTTGCAGTCTGAATGCGGTAGTGATATCGAAGCGGAGAGCCTAAATAGCACTTACTCGGTGGAGACGCAGAGAAATATTTCGATTAACTGTCTGCGTCTCGACTCCAATTTTTTCGCACAAGAAACAAGCGAAAAAATGAGCGAAATTTGAGAAAATTCGATAAATGTTGAGGTACTGTATTAAAGGCGCGTGCAATAATTTGAAAAATACAGTGAGGTTCTCTCTGTGGGAGCTAAGCTCCGCCCACCGTTGTTTTCTCGGCCGCAGCGTGCATTGATTTCGGACAAGAATATTTCTCTGCGTCTCACCTTTTTTTCTCAGACAAGCATAATAAGTAATAAGGAAAAAAGTGAAATAGTACCTATTGGCAGATCTATCAAGTGGCTCTCTTTTCTTCACACTTTTTGGAGTAGCTAGTCTTCTGATAGATTCTGATACATTGGAGGTCAAGTCATCGTGCCTTTTTTGCATTCTTTCCCGACGCTCCCCAAGAGTCTCTTCTTTTTCCATTTCTCTAGCATGGATCATCGCGAAGCGATCTTTACTTGGTGGTCGAGCTCTTTGACGAACCGGAGTGACCTCGCGGGCCGCCACAATCGGCTCCTCAACTTTCTCTGGCGATTGATCCGGCGACACCGTTGTTGCTCGAAGAGATTTTCGTCCCGAAGCTCGGTGTGTTCTCGTACGAGATTTAACTTCAAAGTTATGTAAATCGATTCCCAAATTGCCGCACATTTCGCGTTTTGCATCCTCATCAAGAACTAGGCCAACCGCATTGGTGGGAGTTTGTTCGTCTTCAAAGCAAAATTAATTATGTTGATCATAGCCTCTAAACTCACGAGTTGGTCTGTTTTCTCTTTCTGTTGAGCTTTCTTCCACTGTGAAAGTACGATTGAGTGGAGTTTCAGGCTCATCTGTGTCCATTGGTTCGTCGATTTCATCTTGAGGCTGATCAGCCTGTGGCTGTTCTTCCGGCTCCTCATCAATCGGTGCTTGTTGTTCCGCCTCTCGTTGATTGTTCAAAAACTGAAATTTGGAATTGAAAAAATAAGTTATGAACACTCCGCGGATATTGAATACCTCAACAAGTCTGAATTGCAAATCAGACTTCTTTCCCACAACGGAGAGGCGTTTTTTCTTCAACTCTTTGCGCAATTTATCGCATGTCATATTGAAAACATCGTTTTCTTCGAGCTTTTGAGTTTTAGCTGGCATTTGGCTGAAAAATAACAGTTTTCAACAATGTAAAATAGACGAATTCGGAAATTTCGGGGAGAAACAAGTTTTACAGATTCCTCTTCATTCAAAAAGATTTTTTTCGCGGGCTGATCGACAGGGCGCAAAATCCTCTTCCATGTCGTGTAGTCCTCTCGGAAAAAGTAATCAATATTCGAAAACAAGAAGTCGACTCTGAAATCAACTGCTTTTCTAAAGCCTTTTAATCGACTTTAACGAATTGTAATCATGGGACTTGTTGATTATGCAGGAAGTGATTCAGACAGTGAACAAGAAGAAGAGACGAAACCAAAAGTATAATGATTGATTTTCCACCGGTATATTTAAGTTTTTCTTTTTCAGATTTCTACTCCTTCAGAAAAGCAAGAGTCAAATAACGAAGAATCTTTTTTCGAGGATATAGGTATGTTATCTAATTAGAAATGGGTTTGAGCGAATCATTGTATGCTATTTGCAGGGAGTTCGTCGGCGGGGGAGAAACATAGCCTAAATGCTGAAGATGCGCTCGAAGAGATCGTGAAGCCCAAAGATTGGGAGATAAAAATGGCTGAAAAGGCGAGAAAGAAACTTGAAAAGAAAGCTCTGAAAAAAGCACAAAAGGAAAAACGAAAAAAAGAGAAAAAATTGGCGAAAAAAGCACGGAAAGGAGATAAAATACCCAGAGTGAGCGGCGGTATTCAAAAAGAAAAAGGTAATTGAATACCATGACTTTACACTCCAAACCTAGTTAATTTATAGGAAAGATCGTAATTTCGGCTTTCGGGGCTCTTCCTGGTATCGGCGGAGATGATTCAAGCGACGACAGCGATTCTGAAGAAAAAAGAGAGGTCACTGCCAAACCAACAGTTGGTCGCGGATTTCTATCCAACCTTCCAGCTCCGAAAGGAAGAGATAACCGATCGGATGGTTCAAACGTTTTTGATAAGTCGCTGATTCCTCATTCTGTGGCCAAGAAAGTACGGTATTTTATTTCTCAACAAGCATCAATTTTCTCTTTCAGACGCCAGCTGCGACTCCAGTTTTTAAACCCGCACCTTCTCCGAAAAAGTTGGAAGAAAGTGACGATGACGACGATGAGCTCACTGACTTCTTTGGCTTCTCGTCAACTCCAGCTCGCAAAGAAATGGAATCTGCTCCTGAAATTCCATTCATGGCTATGAACAGCAGTATGGACGTGGTTGGTCCTTCCCGACCGACAGAAGAAGATGAGGTGGATCCAAGTCAGATGTACATGCCTGAAGAAGATGACTCACAAGAAGGAACTTCTGCTTCAAACGCTTGGCTTCACCGCAAAATTTCGGATGAACAGGCTCATAAGTTGCTCATGAGATTCTCACATGATATTGGATCTGAAGAGAGAAGATCTATCAATGAAATGGCGAATTCGATTGTGGACGTTAACGTTGATGATGCTCTCGGCCCTGATGTCAAAACCAACATCATCAAGAATCTCGGGCATCGCGCATTTGTTGAAGCTACGTCGGCTCCGATTCCACAAGTCCAGACACAAGGACAAACATCTCGTAGAAAGCATCAAATCACATATCTTGCTAGCTTGGTAAATTTCAACTGTTTAATCGACATTTCTATTTTTTCCCTTTTAGGCAGTGGCTCGTGAAGAACAACTCAAAGACCAATGGGCAGAGCAAAAACAGTCGAAAAGGATGGCAAGACAAAAGTATGGATTCTGATTCGAATACCAATCGACTCCTCTATTACATCACTTGTTTGGAGACTTCATTCTTGTATTTGTGTTGTTTTCATTTGATAAACACCAATAAACATTAAATGAATTCGTTTTGAAGTTAGCGCATTACGATGAGAAAATTGCGCGATCGCTCGTTAAAAGAACGTTAAGGAAGATAGTACATAAGGCCGGTTGGATAAGTAGAATCGGCAGAAATCTGCTGACTGCTGGCAATGTCGAACAATCTCATCTGCGCAGCCGTCTCGGTTTCGTCAATCCTCGTTGTTGGGTATATTACAGCTGGTTTGCTCATTTTTGTTGACTTTCGGACTTTCTATTCTTCCGCTTTAGATGACGTGGCAGAATTCAATGTGAGTGTTTCTGTTGAGAATAGTATCATTGTGATTAAAATTTAATAATACTACAGTAAAGATAGAGTTAGTCTCGAAGCGAAAACTCTGAATTGAACTGTTGAGTCGCTACTAGTGGTGCCTGCATTCCATCAGAAAAAACGCGGGAAAAAATTAATTTTTAAAAAAGTTCCGGAAAAAACAGTGTAAAATTGAATAGTGTTTTTGGGCATTGAACTGAATTTCGCTCCAAACCTGAAAACAATTTCAGCGTTTTGCAACTGAAGCTTGGGATGATATGATAGAAATCAATCGATCAGTTGTTAGACAAAAAAGAAGTGGTGAATCGAAATGTGGTTGCATGAACAAAGTGAACAACTGTCCTGCCGGACCGACTGGACCTCCTGGAGAACCTGGAGCACCTGGAGATGATGGATGGAATGGAGATGCAGGACAACCTGGACCTGATTTCCCACTTTTCGATCAATCGTTAATTTATCAGAGACCTCCATGCATTCGGTGCCCAGCGGGAGAACCAGGACCACCAGGACCTGATGGAGAACCAGGAGAACAGGGACCACCAGGAGCTCCAGGAGTCGACAATTATGAGGTTGGAAAAGATGGATTACCAGGAGTTGAAGGAGAACCAGGAGATGCTGGAGCACCAGGGGAAGATGGAGAACCTGGAATGGTTGGAGCTCCAGGAGCAAGCGGAACACGTGGAATCGGAATGCCAGGAGCACCAGGAGCTCCTGGAATGGCTGGAATTGAAGGACTTCCAGGGAAAGATGGCGAACCTGGAATTCCAGGACCAGAAGGAGAAGAAGGACCAACTGGAGAGCCAGGTTTGGATGGTGAGCAGGGAACGGAAGGAGAGCCAGGACCGGAAGGACCACCAGGATCCCCTGGACCAGATGCAGCCTACTGTAGTTGCCCACTTCGTTCTGCTCGTCTCTTGTTCTAATTTATTTTTTTTGAAAATCATTTATTTATAAACATTATATCAGCATCACATCATCCAACAAAATAGTGGAAACCCGTCAATCAAATCTTACATAAACCCAGAATTTGAACAATTAAGGCTAAAGAAAAGGAATGAATTTATAGTCTGGAAGACATAACTTCATCGTTTGCGCCGATCCTTTCCAAACTGTCAGTCGATGTTCGAATTGGTTTGGATTGTAAATCATCCAGACCTGAAAAAGAATCATTTAAAGTTCAACTTAATTTTCGATAATTTCTTGAACTAACCCATTTCCATTCTGAACTTCCTTCTATCACTGACGAGAGTTAGAGATGAAACAAAATAGAGACCAGCAGAAATCAAAAGAAGAGCTACACAACAATAAGTGGCAGTGACCAGAGAGTGATATTGGTCTTTTGGTAGTGTGGATCCATGACGAATCAAATCCGAGATCAAACCAATCAGATAAGGTCCAGATGCATCTCCGAACAGATGGGAAACCAGGACGAAATAGGAAAATGCAGTACTACGGCGATTTGGATGAATTACAGTCTGAAATCAACAGATGAAACTTGTTTCGAATATTAAGTACTACTCACCGTCAGCATATCAATATTGAGTCCCCAATTGAAGCAAAGGAATGTGAGCCCGAAGAAGATCATAACATACAAAAGCACCAAGCTCATCTCTCCGAAAATCATTCCAATTAGGAGAAGTGGAGCAGCCAAAAGAGCACCTCCTCCAGAAACCAATGGTGGAGCTCTTTCCGTTTGGAATCTTTTGAATGGTCCCCATCCGGCAACTAGCCATTTCGAGAGCATCGATCCGAATATAACTCCAATAAGTCCTCCGGCTGTTGTGATTGCTCCGAAATAGAGTGCAACTCTGTCTTTATCAGTTGTTGGTAGTTCTTTTGTATCATTGAGTCCTTGGTGCCAAGCAGTTAAATGCTGGATTACGGTAGGCTCCCACCAAGAAAGAGTTCCTGATACAAAAACAAGAGCAGTGTATCCCCAAGTACAAGCAACGAGAGTTGGGGTTTTGAGAAGAATGACAAGATCTTCGAGGTACGTGGTGTTGGTAGCGACTACAGTATCTTTGGCATCACCATTTGCTCTATCCGCTGCTCCTCTTTCCGGTTCATAAGTAAAAAGAACCAAAGCAATCATCACAATGAATCCAGCGATTGCCGACACTCGAATTCCCCATTGCCAATGTCCAGTTAATGTGGCAACGTTTGATCCAACGATGAATCCGAGACCACTTCCGACTGGAATTGCGAAATAGAAGATCATAAATACAGTACTCCTCTTTTGTCCATTGAACATATCAGAAATGAGAGAAGGAGCAACATTGGAATACGATGCTTCTCCGATTCCAACAAAACTTCTCAAAACTAAAAACAACCAGAAATGCTGCAAATAAATATTTATCAGTTATTTATAAACTTTGCTCTTACATTTGCCGGGACAAAACTGGATCCCAACACTGCACCCAGCCAAATTCCGACTCCAATAATCATGATCCATTTTCGATTGAATCGGTCCCCAAGATATCCACAAATCGGGGAGAAAACCATGAAAGAAATGAGGAAAACAGTTTGAATTAGACCTCCCAAACTGTCAGATATGTTATAATAGGTCTGAACAGCAGTAAGAACACCAGCCACAGTGTATCTATCCACATAATTAAGAAGATTCACAACGAAGAGTACGGTAACGCTGATGTAGTCCTCTTGTGAGTTAACCATTCTGTAATTGAAGAGGGTTCTTTGAAACAGAATTCAAAAGACAAAAATAAGAGGAACGACGAAAAGAATAGATCATAGACTTCATAAATATTTATTGGAAACTATGACTAGGTTTATCGGATTCCCCGGTGAGGCGAGGCTCATGATCAAGCGCGCATCACGTCATGCGTGACGATGGATTTGTGAAGGAAATGATAGGGTGGTGAAGCTGAAAGAGAAAGAGAAACGAACAGTATTTGTTCACCTTCGGAGAAATAAAGAGAGGAAATTGAGGGGCCGATTCGAATTGAGACAGGTAAACAAAGTATTACTCACAGTGAGGAGGAAGGAGGTGGTGGTTGTCTTATATAACTCGTTTACTGATTCGTGACTCAAAATACGGTAATACTAAATACGGGATTAAGTTTATAGAGGGGGGGGGGGGAAGTAATGTATTCTTTTTGTCAATGGAATCATTCTGAACAAAAATTAGAAGCACAATCAAAAGATGTCAAAGTGCACTTGTAATCTGTTTTATCGGAACACCTGACCTCTTTTATAGTGCTTCTGAACGCCCTCCCTGAATGAAGTGATGTCAAATATTACGGTACTTTCATCTGATACACAAAAATGTTTTGGTTCAAAGAGTCTTATTTGATGTCGATCAATTTATAAAGCTCTCTCGGTCTGGGACATTTGTCTGGGCTTCTAATCATGTACACAAACTTTTAATAGTCCAGGCGAAGAGAATCGAACTGATTGTATGAAAAAAAACGGGAATTCTGAGTTTCCGAATTGCGAGTTTCCAAAACTCTGAATCGCTAAAGTTCCAGTTGTTTTTGGACCCTTTTTAAAAATAGTTCCTGAATAAAAGGGGCGAAACATTTTCATAAAATTAGGGGTACTGTAAGTGGGAGCAAGTAGGTTTAGCTTCGGAGGGGCGTAAACCGACTGGTTATATTATATTCCAGATTATAAGAAACTTCTGAAACTGATAAGTTTTGACCAGACGGCTTATCATAAGTGAAACTTACGCATGGTTTTGAAATATCTTATAAGTCTGAAGGTCACTATTAAACTTTTTGACCGCAGGTGGCCTGACAGATTCTATCAGATCAAAATCTCCAGTCTCATGATAGTAGTTGTATCAACGGAAAGTTCTAACTTCTCAACCATTCATTTTCCTAGTTAGATGAAAATGTTTTCATGAAAACGTTTTAGGGAATCGGCGAGTTAAAGAAAAAACTATCCGTAACAAGGAAACGAATTCAAGACACTCGGCAACATACGTTAGAGCGTTATCTTTAAGGGAAGATCATAAAATCGAAATAAGCAACAAACATGTGGTAGGGGATGGGGAGGTAAAGGGCTAAAAAATAAGAAGACGAAAAAAAGGAGAAGAAGAAAGAAGAAAAAGAAGAAGTCGGCAAACATTTGAAAGGTGATAGGTGGCACGATAACTTTCGGGAGGCAGAGTTATGTACTTTTTGAAGGTTTAGGTTCTTCCCGAAATATAAAAATGAACTGAATCGATCATCATCCCCAAGTTGCTCCTCGTCCCATTCCTGCGCACCTTTATTTGTCCGAACAGCTGCCTAAACAAACGGGTTAAACCTTTTTTTCAAAATATATTCATGACCAAATCCTTATTCAAAACGATCTGAGAGAGCACATTCTAGAGCACAAGACATACTGTCTATTTCAGTTCTTTACCTCGACATGTAGACATCAATTCACTATTTTTTATGAGCCAATCGGTTCCTTTGATGATGGTCGGCCATGTGCTGAAAAGAAAGGATCGGGCGTGCCAAACGACTGGACGCCGCTCGTTTCCGCTGATGACGATCAGGGAATTCCCAGGGTCACATAGAGCACAGACTATGTGTCAAACTACATTGAAAATTCCCAAACCTTCAAGGAAATGAACAAAAAAATGCAAGAAGTTGTCATTTTGGTACAAAAAACTTTGGAAGAGAAACGAAGGTGGTTGTGGCCAAGGGTCCAATAGCGAAAACTACAATATCACAAAAGTTGTTATATTTTCCGTATTCATTTTCTCTATTATCACTGCTTTTTGTTAGAATTTTTGTTAACAACTCGGAAAATAAAAGGTTTCAAAAAGTTTAAAAAATGACTGAAAACAGACGAAAATAAAAATGTTTCTAGGTTACGGTAGTTATCGTCCAGGGAACTTTGGCCACAGCCACCCGCGCTTCTCCTCCACAGCCCGGATTTTTTGTACCACGATAATAACTGAAACTGTGATTCCAACAATTAAATTTTATTTCCAGAAATAATTTTTCTTTATTTTGCAGTCCGTTTTTTTCGAATTGTGAATACCGAGTATCATTGAATCCGATCAAATATTGACACCTAATCCTACCGTATTATATGTCCAATAAACAGAAAAATAATTATTTGGTCTTATCAAATATTCCTTGTTTTTTTTTCTCACAAAGAAGAAATCTACCTAAATTGAAAAGGGAACAAATTAAATGTTTGACATTCAGATTAATGTTCCGATCAGTAGTGTTTCGTTGAATTACTCTCTTTGGTTTAAACGAAAAATTCATCTAAATATACTTGTCCAGCTGGAAATGGAAATATCTTCTGAATTTCAAATGAGATGATGCCTTTTGAACCGTCCGTCTCCACCCGTCATTCCTCAAACAATCTATGGCCGATTCGACTCGGAAGTTTTCACACTTTTTGATGGTTGTTTGCTTTTTATTATCAACAAACAATCGACAAAAAGATAAGAAGGAGATAGGTGAGGGATAGTTATCCAAACACTTTGCAGAAACTCTTTATTAGGAAGTATCTAATTTTACAGGGGAAGGATTTGATTTATTTTTTTTTCATACGACAAACGGGTGTTATTATTATAAGGCTTTTTTCGAATGCAGATTTTTTGAGACCATCGGTTCCTAGTTTCAGGGTTCTATGTACACCGGTAGAAAATGGATGAATAAGAAAAAGAAGAAAAAAAATCAGAATTTATCCACGGGATTTTCTCATTGGAGCACGTCTTCCCATCAGCTTGAACATGGCACAGTACTGACGAAGCTCTCTGGAACTAACAGAACAGATTGAAGATCAGAGATTCATTTGAAATACTCACTCTACTCCTGCATTGACTGAGCATTCACAGAGCTCTCCAGCTTCTCTCTTCCAATGCATTTTCTTGGTGCAAGCACGGAATGATTGTCTGGCTTTAGTCTCAGCAACCAAAGGTTGACATCTGAACTTGTTGATAAAAATGATGATGTTAGGATAGGAAAAGATTGGAGAAGGAAGAAAAACCGGTTCAAATGCCGAAATCGGTGATTTGTGATTGGCGGTTTTTCTTGATGAAAACCGATTTGTTTATTGGTCACTTTTCGGTTCTTTTTGGGAAAAGAGAAACGGTTCCAGAGAAGTCAAGTGGTTCTTCTCTCATTATGTCCTATGACATTCAACACAACTTACCCTTTTCTATCAAAACAGAATCCACTCTTATTCTTCTCCAAAAAGCAATCTTTGACACAGAGAGCGAAATCACCAGTCGCATCGAGAATGTGCTTGATTGGTTTAATCATTGTTTGGAATGTATTCGTCTGGGTAGCAATACTTTTCTCAGTCACTTTGAAAATTCCACGAATATCCGTTTTCTGGATTTGTGGTCCATGTTGATCGGCGACACATCTAGAATAAAATGCAAAGTTTGCATCATGATTGAAAGTTTTTTATCTCTTACGCTTCAACACGATTCTCAAAGCAGGTCAGAAAATCTTCGAGGATATTGTCTTTCTCATCGAAACATTTTTTCAAATCGTTTGGACGAGAAGTGATCTATAAAGTATTTGTAATACATTAATGCATAGATATAAAGATCACACTTACAGATGAAAACTTTTGGAAACATGGGACTGTACAGTCCTTAGCTTGAATTTTCATTTCCTCCACACATACTCTTTGTTCTGTGCATGAGCATTGTCTTACGGTCTGACCGGTAAGTTTAGCACGGTTCAGGATATCAGCTCCTTGGCTTGAAATCTGAAATAACTATTATGAAAAGCCAAGTTTCCCATAACAGGACTGACCAGAACGAATGGGATTTTTTGTAGGCTACAACTTCAATTTTCTTCGAAAACGTCATGGTCACATTTCACACAGAAGACAGTCATAAACTACATATCTTAGGAATAAATATATCACTAGACATCATCTGGATGATCGTATGATTCTGTTTATAGACTGGTTTCAACGAAACAAATGATCATGATCGAATATGTTAATTTGGACATACTATGGATAACTTGATAACAACAACAACAAAAACTTGCCGAGTCAATTGGATCAGATGCAGTGGATGCATTGGCCACAGCCAATAATGCCAAATATGTCAGACTTCTGGTGATGCACATGTTCGCTTCAAGAGTTTGATCGTCTTCTGAATCGTCCGATCGTCTCAACAGCTTCGTTTTTCTTCTCCTTCTTCGCCACCAAGTCTCCGCCCCTTTTCGAATGGTTCAGCTGTGTCTCTCGTCTGCGCGTCTTTAGTCTTCGAGACGACGGCTGTAAAAAAACAACAGAAAAGTTTGCGAAACGGATTGACCCGAAAGTCACGAAAACAGTGGTTTACATGTGATTAGGTTGTGATAAGTGCATTCGGAAACCCTGAAAGGAATGCTAATCAGCTCATGACCAATTAGTTCAAAATTTTGAATACTTCGTAACATAACTTTTTTCCTTTAGTGGTCATTCCTGTTAGCTGTAAAGTTCTTTCGAGAGGTTGGCTGAAATATATGAGTCATAACTGACCTTCGTGTTGTAAGACTAATGCGTCAGAGGGTCATTTGTAGCCTATGAAAGGTTACAGTTTCTAGAATAGTTCAGAAAATCAGGTTAGAGGAATTTTTTCGCAAGTTGTAAAATCTGAAACGAAAACTACTTATGCATAAATCAGGTGAAATTTTGCTTGGACCTCTTGCTCTACATGTAACATGAGCTTTATGTATAACACAATGTGAGAAACTCGCCAAATGGCTCACAACTTTTCATCCGCTTGCCATCAGTCCCTGAGTTTGAAATTAAGATTTTAGCTTCAAATTTTGTTCGTTCATGGAAAAATTACAAACAGTAAAAAGATCAGTGGAGGATGACCTTAACATTAATGCTGCTTTTTAGATTATCGGTCAATACAATAACTCTTTTTCGGAAGGACAAAGTTGGTTCATTCCAGCTAATCCACCAGTCAGAAATTCGTTTCCCTTCGAGAAGAATAATCAGCGCTACAGTTTTCTGAAGCTAATTTAGTTGAACTTTTTGTATTTTTGAGATAGGATTAAACAGAAAATATGATATTTGATGGATGCCGGCTGAAATTGCGCGGACGGGCGAAGCCAATCAATTGTCGTCTTGCGGGCGGACCGTTGACGGCTCGTCGACTGACCGTTAGTTCAGTGAGAATAGAGTCGCAGTTTTTGTACGAAAATCTGCTAGGCATGAGTCTGTTAACCGGGAGACGTTCCTTTAAATACTTTTCTCAATAATTTTCTCTGAATTGGTCCACTCTTCTGTGGTAAGCTACTAACATTTTTATAAATTGGGGGGTGGTTATAGTTCCTAGTTAAGGAAACAAATAAAATATAATAATTCATGGTTGAGGATTAAAAATTATTAATGAGAATCTCCATGGGCCACCGACCCCGCCGGGCCCGTTACAAGTGTGTTTGAGCCATGTTATTTCGGTTTCTTTCGGAGATATTAAAATATGTTAACTGATAAATTGTTAATCATATGTAGTATAATAAGTGTTTTGTCAGTTGACACATTTTTGATATCTTTGGCCGGAATCGAGATAGATGATTCCAAACTTGACAGTGTGGGGCCCCTCTATTACAGGTTTTATGGTATTAGTTTTCTGAGATTCTGCGTTATTTCTAACCAAATTTTTTCCAGAAGTCATATCTAAATTTTTAAAGTAGTGTTCTCACTTTTTTCAGATCATTTTCGCAATTTTTTTGTTCTTCTAATCCCTTTCGAGAGTTCTTCTATTTCGAACAGAAGGATTATTTCCCCATTCTCAGTGTATTTTGTCTTTCTGTCTGTGTTTCAGTACAAGTAAGAAACTTTTTTTTCTTCCACGCCAACACAAAATTCCGTGTCCAAATATGGTTTTTTCTTCTGTTTCTCGATCTCTTGTTCTTGCCATGAACACAACAAACCAGTAGCCATTCAAAACCCTTTTTTCAAGTACTTTTCTCGATGGGTTTTCAACTTTCCACTTGAAATTCTGTGACGATCTGATATGACGTTGTTTGGTACGACCTCGAGAAGAAGAAAAAGGAATTTTCGAAACGTCTAGAATCTCGGGAAAAAAAAATCAGTGGAAGCCACACACAAAGGACTGTAAAAAACCTCTCGGTGGCCCGTTGGTCAGTTCGAAAGAAAAGACAAAGAAAAAAAAGAAAAAGTGTATGCATTACACAGTTTTTCAGTCTGTGACCATGAAAAAGATAAAGTGATTAAATGACGTTTGAAACAGACAAGGGATGACCGGAAAAGGAAACAAACTTGATCGGTGACCGATTAGCTTGAATATATGACACTTTGAGGAACACAAATGTGACTTCACTTTCACAGATAAAGTCATGGTTTTTGTAGCATTGAACATTAAAAAATGTAGTCAACATAACAATGCGACTTGAAGAAGATCTTTGCCGAGAAGGGAATATGAACCAAGTCAACTGACTTGATTGGGGGACTCCGACCAAAAATTGTATTGCATTGAAATTCTTGAAAATTCATGTGTTTTCCTAATACTGTTGCGAGAAAGTTGGGAAAACAATCTGAATTCCCGAAAAATGCCGTTGAAAATAAAAAAGGTGGTGATGGGACGAGGATTTGAGATCCCGCGCAGTGAGAAACCTAGGCCACAGCGGTGGGACACCTTTTAAAAGTGACCGACAATGATTTTTTCGCGG